CAGATCTTGGATTGTAATAAGTAAGGCAAATTATCTATGGACATTTATTAATTAATTTGATTATATCTGATATGTTAATATGATTGTGTAAAGGATGACTTATTTTTTTTAGTTTTTTTGCATTTGTGTGCCACTTTTGCTTTAAATTGGATACGTGAGGCTTATGAGGGTGTGAAAAATTTTTTACTCATAATTAAAAGTTTAAAATTTTAGTAGTTAAGCAACATAGAAAGTTAACGAATCTAGGAAATTAGCCAGGGATCACCCCCGGGGTCGCATGCATATTACTGCACTTCTTCTTTCCTTGTTTTAGATACTTTCCCGCCTGTTGGTAGAGTCCGAATAATATGACATATGAGTATGAGGTGTCGGACCTGGGGAAGCACATTCTTCTAAAAAACTATTTTTAAGCATTTTATGGAAACTTCAAACATTCATGATTTGGGTATTTTGACTAGCATGCATCGCATTAGAAACATATTTAAAAGAATCTAAATTTTAATTACATCAATATCTAGCATTTTCACCTAGCATAAGTCAAAGGGTCCACTTAGGACATTCTCTAGATGTCGGCCCCAACTCTTCAAGACTTTAATAAAAATGTCCCTACCACCCTCATAAAAAAATCATATTCATGTATTTAAAATTGATTAGGTGGATAGATGGCTCCCCAATGCAGGCTGGGGTAAGTCCAAATTCTACATTGTATTAGTTAGGTTTGGAGTACCGTAGTCCAGTGTCCAAATTTAGATTTAAGATCCAAAGCAGATCTTGGATCATAAGGCCCCAACCTCCATGAATTTAATCTCAAATTTCTAATAAAATACTCAACTTTAACTAAATCTTCTATCAATCTAAAACATAAAGCCCAACACTTAGATTAGATTGGGACACTTCCGGATTGTTCTGGAATCTCAAAGTATCCCCTACTCTTCTTCCTTTGACTCCGTTAATAAGTGCTCCAATTTGATCCGATCCCACTTAAAATTTTGAAATTCACCCACTTTGATATCACTCCTATAAAATATATAACAAAACTTCACCACTATTTTAATCGAGAGTTTTTGTAGGAGACTCTATCTTCCTATGATGTAATTAACTACGAGGGCTTGTGCTTGTAGGAGATTTAGAACCACACACATCTGATTTTCAAAATTCACTTAATATTTCTTTTGTAAAATTTACTTCATAACGACCGTCATTGTCATAATTATATGATGGCTAACGAATGATATTCTTTTTCTTCAAAGAGATTTATGATGTGTTAGCATCATTTCGAATATGAAGCTAACGATCATCTTCTTTTAGTTATCGTGGTTTGATTTTAGATTGAACCCTACCTTGATCCTCCCAGGGTCATATGTGATTCTCACTTAAATCAGATTACGATAGCCTAGATAAAATTTATGATTATGGATCTGAACCTATTATGAGACTTTATCTCTGCCTTTCAAGGTGGTATATAATCTCTAATGGTCTGCTCGCCTTTAGAATTGAAATCTAAACTTAGTTTCAAATTTCCCAAAAGAAATTTTCAAAGCCCGAATTAGTATTCTTTGGAAAAAATTCAACCAACGACGATCATTGTCGTCATGCCCAAATAATTATCAAATAGTGGTATCTTCGTCTTCCTTAAGGGAGATACATCATTTGTCTATAAGATTTTGGGCATGAAATCAACGATAATCTACTTAGAATATCATAGTTGGAAAGTAGATTGAACTCCATTTTGACCTCTCGAGGTCACATGCGGTTCTATCTTAGATCTGGTTATGATATTCAATGTAGGATTTATAATTTTGGATTTGAAGCCCATTTTGAAATCTTATTTCTACTTACCGAAGTGGTATGACTTTTCTAATGGATGTTCGACCTCAAAATTTGAATCTAAAATTTAATTCTAAATTTCCAAAGAAAACTAATATTTTTCAAAACCTATTTTCAAAAATTTCACCAACAGCCATTTGGCATATCTAATGATCCCAGCACCTGTATGAGGCTCATGAACCAAAAATTTTCAATCCTTATTGAGCAAATGTGTAGTAGTCTATTTCGATGATATTTTAGTGTACACTATGGAAGATCATTTACTCTATTTGCAAAAGGTTTTTGATATTCTCGGAGAACAACAGCTATTCTATCTCCAACCCCCAAAAGTCTCAATATTTGTCCCACAAAGTGTCGTTCTTAGGATTCATCATCTACTTTGTGGATATTCAAGCCGACCCAATTAAAATTGAAGTTATTCTTCACTAGACAACTGCCCAATATGCTACCAAGGTCTGGCAGTTCGATCCATTGTTTGGCATCGTTCTATCGCCAATTCATAAGGAATTTCACCACTTTATTGCCGACCACTTTGGAAGAGATAAGACTCTTACCTTAATCAAAGAACTTTTTTTCCACTCTGTCTCGGGACGTTGATTATTTTATAAAATGACACAGATTTTGTGTGATAGCTAAATAAAACTCATAATCATAAATTAGGACTATTTACACATCTTCCCATCCCCAAAGGCTCATGGATTGATATCATCTTAGACTTTGTGCTAGGCCTTCTGTGGGCTCAATAGAACAAGGACTCCATCATGGTTGTCATTGACTGGCTTTATAAGATGGCTCATTTTGTGTCTTGTAATAAAATACTTGATGCCACTCATGTAGCCGACTTGTATTTCAAAGAAATTATGCACTTGCATGGCATACCCAAAACCATCACCTATGATCATGATGTCAAGGTCCCAAGTCACTTTTGGAAGATATTATGGGGAAAATTAGGTACCAAAATTCAATTCATCTCAACAGCACACCCTCAAACCGACGACCAAACTAAAACCGTCAATTGAAGTCTTGGCAAACTTCTTAGATGTTTCGTGGGAAAGAACTTAAGACAGTGGGATCTCATACTACCTTAGATCGAATTCTCATTCAATCGCTCCACCAATCAAGCCATGGGCCATAGCCCATTCTAGGTAGTTTATGGAAATAATCCTTTTAATCGTATGGGTGTAATTCCATAGGTCCAAACGACCCACTACAGCGCCGATGAAGATCAGCACTGCAAGGAAATCCAAAGCATACACAAAAGCATCCAAGAAATGGTCCACAAGCATAATCAGAAGTGTCCAGACCCAACCAACAAATCTTGTCAAGCTGTTAAGTTCAAAGAAGGAGACAAAGTTTGGATATGCTTACCGAAGGATCAATTCTGACCTTCTGGTTTCGGAAAGCTCAAACCTAAAGGTAAAGGACATTTTCAAATTGTTAAAAAAATTAGTGACAATGCTTATCAGATCGATCTACCTGGTGATTATAATTTATCCGCTACATTCAAGGTTACTGATTTATCTCCCCACTACAAACCAGAAGTTCCTCCTAACCCAGTAGACTGACGCCGTAGTTATGCTTGCAGCCCCATTTTCGGGTTCAGGTTATACCTTCACCTATTTATAAATGTCTTGTTATTTGTTCCCTACCTTTTGTATGACCAACCTTAAGGCCCAAATTGTGTATAAATAAACTAATTATTGAATAATAGGAGGAGGATGGTTAATCTATGATTCTTGAATTCCTTTTGGAGTTGTTTTGTATCTTGACATTCTATCAGGTGGTTATTCTAGTTTCATTAATTTGTCCGGCCTTGTTGCTTGGCCGCCTATCCCATTTCCTTTTGAGGCATTTTCTTGCCTTGTCTGCCTTGTTGGTTGTCTTCACCGTGACCTTCTCTTGAGTGATCGGTGTCAATCGTCATCATATATATCTATCTATGTTATGGATCATATCATATTGGGAGCATTATTGTGTATGGAAAAGCATAAATCATGTAATAGTATCATGTATATAATTATGAAATGCAAAATATAGCTTAAATTTCATTTTTTTTTTACTTCTTATTTCCTCCTATTAAGATTGTGATTTTTTTAATCACATACCTAGGTTGTTAAATTTTTTTGCTGGTTGACTTGAGCAATATTTGGCTCTTGCTATCCTCAATATTTTAATTTTTTAGATCTAATTTATCTTGCAATTTAGACCTCCAAAGAGCATCAGGAGCCAACCATTGCTCATGGGTCTTCGTTTATGGGATCTATGACCGCTAGTGCGACTTAAGGGAGATATAAAAAGCAAGTTCCAAAATTTTACTAGAGCTCCTATTATTTATTGAATGGTAGCTACCCATTTGTGTAAAATAATTACATATAAGGGTTCGTTTGGAACGACTTTTTTATTGCTTTCTAAAACAGAGTTTTAGTACAAAACTTTTTAATTTTGTACTAAAACTCCGTTTTAGAAAGCAATAAAAAGCCGTCCCAAACGAAGCCTAAGTCTTTGTATACCATCATAAAAGGGGTTTTATTTTGGTTCATTGAACTTTTTTTTCTTTTCACTTTTGACTAAAGTTTCCTTTATTATACTTTTATTTTTTGTAGTTAATATATATATTATACAAAAGACTTTGTAATCTCCTTTGATTTATTTTACTCATGAAAAATAAAGTTTTTGTTTATTAAAAAATGACAACATAAGATGTTGTGATATTGGTATGATATATTGAAATAAGTAAAAAAGAATTACATGATAAAAAAGTTTAAAGCCATCGCTTCAATTAAAAGCCATAAGGCATCCATTTTTGCCTAATTTGGATGGTGGTACTAATAATTTGTAAGGTCTAAATCCCAAAAATGACCAACCAATCATCATATAGATCAAAACAGTGAAACGCTACTATGCATTTGAGAGGTTCATATACATAATAGAGCAATGAAGCAAATAAAGAGTTTTATGGAGTGAAATAAAAGAGGTCGAAATCATGTGCAAAGTGAATTAAATAAACTCTGCATGTATATAATGGATAAAAGTGAGCCATCAAATGATTTTCTGCAAATTAAAGAGAATTGATCAAATAAGAGTGAGCAACATACAAAATAGGTAAAATTTAGGTAGAATAAAGCATTGGAACCATATGGGGCATGTTTAACAATTTATATAAGATATTCAATCTATTGTATGGCACAGTTGGTCGGTGCAAATGTTAGTTGCATGTTTGTGAGGTCATAGCCAATATGGAAGTTTTGTTGTGCAATATTACCAAATATATTGATAGAATCAGCGGTGGCACCACTAGAGACCATGGCAAGGCACAAAATATCTTGCCCGGTCTCCACAAATGCATTGGGTGGTTGCAAGACCACTGATGCACCACCGGAAAATTGGAAGATGATCTCTGGAAAATGAATTGAAGTCCCTGTCTTGGAGACATCAAAGCAAAGGTTGAAAACACCAATTGGATCATTGACTTGGGGAAGGCTGATGCTACTCCTCACGCTACTCTCCACAGATTGCAGTGTATTATCATTAATGAGTGTGAGAGTTGTGCCTGAGTCGATGATGGTGTTTCCTTGGGAAAACCCATTTTCTGGCATGGGATTCCCAACAATGATGGTCTTGCCATCCACACTAATATGCTCAAGGCTAAGGAAATAAAAGGTGTCTGGTGAACGAGAGATCAAGGGCGTGGTAATGGCGTTATCGCCAGAGACGACTGCATTAGAGCCAAAGTTGAGTTGGCTCGTTGTAGAGGTTTTATCTAATGAGGGCAAGCAATATGAAAACTTGTTGCCAATGGTGGAGCCTAGCTGGCGGATGAGAGAGAGCTTTCCTCCACCCAGGCCAACTAGTCCAGCTTCATTCTTGTCAAATGTGCCATTGCTCTGATGAGTGCACCCAAAGAGAATTGTGGGGATTTGTATTGGACGTCCACCATTAGAGTCAAAGCCTATTATTTCTGTAGAGAGATAGCCTTCAACGATTGACTTGTCGCCATATCCATATTGATAGTCGCAATGGGAGGAGGAGCCGCAACTGCTCTGTGGTAGCAGTGAGCAAGAGTCAGTATTGCAGGGGATTGTTTTGTAGGTAGAGGAAGATTGTGGATCAAAAAGAGGGGCACTCTGGTTGTAGCATTCTTTGCACGGGACACACTGGACCCATATGAGATCGCTGCCCGTGTCGGCGATGGCGAGAACTTTTTTGGCTGGAGTGCCAAGGTAGAAGCTCATGAGGTACTCGAAGTTGCTTGGGGTGATATCTGAGTAGAAGTTATTAGCATCGTCCATGGGAAGTGCAGAGGAAGATAGACGAGCCTTGTGGATAGCATTGCGAAAGTAGATGGCACGAGAACGAGAGCGCTCAGCAGCTGCACGGATGCGGGAGGAATGTGTGGAATCTGGGTCATATAGCGGCGACTTGGGGGAGTCGCGATGGATGAGCTCAACCGAAAACCCACTGCCACTACACCATGCTAGAATTGGAAGGTGTGTGGCAAATAAGAAAATGAACAAAGAGATTGCAAAAGAGTAGAAAGAATAAGCCATATGTCTCTTTATATGTTTGTGTGTATATGAAAGTTGTTCTCACTTTTTCGTTTTCCTTCGTTCCTTTGTTGGTGGTGATTGTCCTGCAAAAATCAAGTATTTATAGATCCACTAAATAGAAGGGACTAGGGAAATACATAGTTTTTTTTCCTTACTATTTTATATCATTTCATAAATGAGGACGAAGGAAATTACAACCAAAGTGGCATGAGTAATAAAACAAGCTCTCTGTAACATATTCTTCCGTAGTAACAAACAAATTATAAATAAGAAATGGTCTGCGTCAATCATTGAACATGCAGTAGAGAAGATCAACGCACTTCTTTGATTTTTTTACTTCCAAATGGGATAAATTATTTATATATGAATCGTATGTACAGCTAATGATATATGAAAGAGAAACTATTAATTTGATTATTCTCAATTACATATTGCTCGCAATGGATGCTAATTCTGGATTAATAAATTATTTAATTTGTTTTATATTTTCTCTCTATATCTTTATAAAAAAATAAGTATATATATTTATATTTAACCTATACGTTTGGGGAGGGTGACTATTATTCTCCAAATATAAAAAATATTTTGTGAATTAAACAGTATCAACTTTAATTTATTTCATCAAATATATAAGTGACAAAAATAAAGGTGAACAATAGTTTAATTCTAGCTTAGCCCATTATTCCTCTAGCAAAATTAGTAATGCACCCTAAATATTATCAAAAACCTTTGTATTTAATTCAAATATGTTTAAAGTCTCTCTCTTTTTTAATTATAATATTTGCATTACTTATTCATTGTATTTATTTATTTTTTATGATAATTTAATTATTCATTAACTATAAGAATATTTCCTTTTTAATAGTATTGCATAGCTGAACTTTCATATTGACTATGTTCTTGCCACCATATAGCTCACCTTCGTCGTGACTAACTGTCCATCTCTCTAAATTTAAGCAGCCATGCATGCTGTTGCTTCTCTTTTACCCATTAATTTCTTGATCAAATCCCCCAACAATCAACGCCAAATTCTTCTTATTTTTACAAAGAAGTACATTTCAATCTTTAGGAAACTATTCAGGACGGCTGCAATTTTTTGTAAAGGTGATTGTTTAGTTATTTAGTTTCATATTGGCTATGTTCTTGCCACCATATAGCTCACCTTCGCCGCAACTAACTGTCCATCACTTAAGAAACAGGAAGTCCGAGCTCTGGTTTCCTCTTATAATGCTCCCAATTATTTTTGTTTTCTGTGCCACCGTGATTTCCAGTCGCATTTTGCTCATATAATTCCACGTCCGACATCATTTTGTCCTCTTATTTCCCCTCCATGATCCTTAAAATTCGGCTGCCTGTGATAGAAAAGTTTAATTAATGCCATAATTTGGAGAGATTATTTGGTGCGGAGTCGGGACGGGGAGAACCGTCCGCACAAGCATTGTTCAGTGCTAGGTACCAGCACTCGGTGCTGCTGGGTACCGTTGAGTACCGCTAGGTACCCAGTACTTATGCGGACGGTGCGCACTCTGCACCTAATAATTTTTTCATAATTTGTGCACCCCATACGTCTATATATTTGAGCAATGCAGGATATTTAGAGTGTTAGTAGAAGAATTCAGTAACTTTTGTCACTTTTCTTTTCGATTTTAAGCAATAGAATCATCCATTACGATAAATAAAAAAAAAAGAAATTAGAAAATGCTTTACGCAATGAAATGTCACAATTTTTTTTTACATGTACAAGTGATGGGAAACAAATAATATCCTTTACATATCCGCCCAGTTTATCGACTTTTTCGGAAATGCTAGAACAAAGAATTTCTTTATACATAATAGAAAAACTATACGACGAAGATCTTTATAATTCTTGGATTTATACTAATGAAAAAAAAGTGCAATTTGAACAATGAATTGAAAAGACGAATCCAAATTCTAGAAAAAAAAATGAGGGAGAAATTTTTGAAGAATCAACTACAAAATTTCGAGGTAAATTTATTCTGCTAAAATATTTTATTTAATTTGATATTTTGTTAGTCGATTATGTAAATTAGATATTAATTGTAAAGTTCAGACATCTGTGAAAATATAATAAAATGATATTCTGATTTTGTAGATTGCTTTAAATTTGTATAAATTTTGTTGATGTTGAGGAGATATGTGATATATGCAGTGGCGGAGCCAGAAATTTTATTGAGGGGGGGCCTAAATTAAAATAATTTTTTTTGTTGTTTCATTACCATGGGGTCTGTCTTTGGAGGCAAGAGAGGAGCGAAAGATATTTAAATGAGTTTTATTTAACATTCTTTAAAATATTTTTATTTCAGCTAATTTAAGTGAGTTTCAATTTCAACTAAAATTTACCCGAGATTCTGTAAAATAAAGTTTTAAATAAAAGTCAAAGATTTTTACTAAAACGTGTGTGTGTGTGTGTATATATATATATATATATA